TCGTAATTTAACGTGATACTTCGGGTCGTAATTAACGTGATACTTCGGGTCGTAATTATCGTGATACTTCGGGTCGTAATTAACGTGATACTTCGGGTCGTAATTAACATGATACTTCGGGTCGTAATTAACGTGATACTTCGTCACTTTCGTATATACTTTATGTGACCCCTTATTATACTGTATCATAATGCTCTAGATACTCTAGCCCTGAATAACTATCACTAGCCCTCCTTAGCCCTCCTTAGCCCTCCTTAGCCCTCCTTAGCCCTCCTTAGCCCTCCCTAGGGCTCCTTAGCCCTCCTTAGGGCTCCTTAGCACTCCTTAGGCCTCCCTAGGCCTCCTTAACCTCCTTAGGCCTCCTTAGGGCTCCTTAGGCCCCATTAGGGCTCCTTAGCCCTCCCTAGGCCTCCTTAGGCCTCCTTAGCCCTCCTTAAGCCTCCTTAGACCTCCTTAGGGCTCCTTAGCCCTCCTTAGGCCTCCTTAAGCCTCCTTAGACCTCCCTAGGCCTCCTTAGCCCTCCTGAGGCCTCCTTAAGCCTCCTTAGACCTCCTTAGGGCTCCTTAGGCCTCCTTAAGCCTCCTTAGACCTCCTTAGGGCTCCTTAGCACTCCTTAGGCCTCCTTAGGGCTCCTTAGCCCTCCTTAGGCCTCCTTAGGGCTCCTTCGCACTCCTTAGGCCTCCTTAGGCCTCCCTAGACCTCCTTAGGGCTCCTTAGCACTCCTTAGGTCTTCTTAGGCCTCCTTAAGCCTCCTTAGACCTCCTTAGGGCTCCTTCGCACTCCTTAGGCCTCCTTAGGCCTCCCTAGGCCTCCCTAGGCCTCCTTAGGCCTCCTTAGCCCTCCTTAGACCTCCTTAGGGCTCCTTAGCACTCCTTAGGCCTCCTTAGGGCTCCTTAGGCCTCCCTAGGCCTCATTAGGCCTCCTTAGACCTCCTTAGGGCTCCTTAGCCCTCCTTAGACCTCCCTAGGCCTCCTTAGGCCTCCTTAAGCCCCCCTAGACCTCCTTAGGGCTCCTTAGCACTCCTTAGGTCTCCTTAGGCCTCCTTAGCCCTCCTTAGGCCTCCTTAAGCCTCCTTAAACCTCCTTAGGGCTCCTTAGCACTCCTTAGGCCTCCTTAGGGCTCCCTAGGCCTCCTTAGGCCTCATTAGGCCTCCTTAGCCCTCCTTAGGCCTCCTTAGGCATCCATAGGCATCCTTAGGCCTCCTTAGGCTCCTTAGCCCTCATTAGGGCTCCTTACCCCTCCTTACCCCTCCTTAGGGCCTTTCCCAAAGTATTAATATCAACCTCGCATCAGGATAATTTAATTACGAGCCGAAGTATCACGTTAATTACGAGCCGAAGTATCACGTTCAGGCCCGGAGCTACGGGGGTGTGTGGGGGGGTGTGACACCCCCCCCCCAGTAATTGTATTCAGTCGGCAGGACTGCTATTCAGTCGGTAGGACTGCTATTCAGTCGGTAGAACTGCTATTTGGGTTAAATATTTTTGGCGCAAAGGGCAAGAACGTGGTGGGAATTTTAGGAAAATTTTTAGGAAAAATGTAAAAATTTTGGAAAAATGTAAAAAAATGTTGAAAATTTGTGATGTGCGGAAAATTTTTGAATGTTCCGGAAAATTTTTGTACGTCCGGAAAAATTTTTGGACCCCTAAAATGGTACACTGACCGAAATTTTTTTGATCCGCAAAAATTTTTTTTGAACCAGTCGGTTGAATTGACCTTATTACACCCCCCCTGAAAGAATTTCCCGAGGACGGCCCTGCAAACCACGACAGTTTATCGCAGAATACTACCTGCACTGGAACACCACGTTTGAGATATCTTTTTCAGGTAGTTCAGACACAAACCACGACAGCTTATTGTTGAATACTACCTACACTGGTCACTGGACCTCCACGTTCGAGATATCTTGGGTTAATAGTGTAACAGACTAACAGTATATATTTTAGCAATGATATAAATTATATCATTGCTTAATTAAAATATATACTGTTACACTATTAACCCAAGATATCTCGAACGTGGAGGTCCAGTGTAGGTAGTATTCGACAATAAGCTGTCGTGGTTTGTGTACCAGTACGTATTTTCTGGATTAATGTTCGGATTAATTTAGGATTACAGTAAAGCAAGATTAAGACTAGAATTAGTATTGTTGCGATTACGTAATGTGTACACAGTGCGTGGTTACCAAGCAGTGTTGTTTTTACAAGATGGCGACCAGGGGAGAGCGTCTGGCAAGAAAATGCACAGCTAAACGTGGCCGTTCTTTGGTGAACGACGAGCTACAGGCGAGATTAAAACAGATAAAAACTATCTTGCAGAAAACGACTGAAGAATGCAATCAGGAAGAGCTTAATATCTTGCGAGAATCACCTGAAATGGTGCGAGAAATCGAACGAAGAGCTGTGAAACAAGCCACAGCCAAGGCCAGAATAAGAGAGGTTATTTCCTTTGCTTTTTTTTAAGTATTTTGGGAAGGGATTGTATGTAATACTGGTGCTTTTACTTCTCTAGGTATGTGATTCACCAGATGAAATTGTACAAAAGGCAACACAGCTGGCAAATGCTATCAGAAACGCGAATTTCTTAGTTGTTTACACTGGGGCCGGCGTCAGTACGGTAAATATAAAATATTTCAAAATTTTTGGTGTCGACTCACTCGATTCACTTCCCGCCAGTAATATGTCTTATATCTTAACTTTTTACCATTTATTCCTAGGCTGCATCGATTCCCGATTATCGGTAAGAATTTTCTTACCAACAAATATAAAATATATTTTAACTTGAATATTTAAATATTTTTGGAATTTAAATTGCCCAATATTTAAATATTAAACTAATATTGAAGCTATTTGCTTGCAGGGGTCCGAATGGTATTTGGACTAAACTTTCAAAAGGGGAGACAATAAAGTAAGGAAATTTGAAATATCTTAAATGTTTGTTTTAAAATATATAATTTTATGAGGGACAAAGAACAATTTGCCATAAGTTTTAAATAAGTTATGAGGGTTTTCTGGTACCAACATAAGCTTTTGTCTTTATTAAAAAGGCTTGCTTTTTTTGAAACTAAACTAAATATATATTTATATTGGATAGCTCCATATCAGTCTTAAAACTGTTCTCTTTTAGAGGTCAAGTTAGGGGCAAATGGTCATTATGTTACTAGAAATTGTGAAGTGGCTATTGCTTTTTCTGCAATCTGATTGGTCGACATTTAGACGTACGAAAAGTGATATCCCAGCTGTGTGTGGGGGCTATCACTTTTTTCAAAATGGCTTCACAAGCTGCTGAGTTTAAAACGAAATCAATTTTTCTGAGCATGTTTTGAAGTTTAACCCATTGACTGGCTCTCTCCTTGACAGGTAAAATCATTTGACGTTAGACAGAGTAACATAATAAAGTAGGGCGCAATGCAACTTCTAAAATGGGTTAACTAGACACATGAGCAAATAGTCTGATAACCCAATGAGCAGAAGCACTTTAACCTGGACAAGTAAAATTGTCTGGCATTAGACAGCATAAATTATTAAAGTAGGGCACAGGGCACAATGCGACTTAATGGGTTAACTAGACAATTGTACCCGTCAAGGAGAGAGTGAATTAGTTTTAAAATTTTAGTATCTTCAGTATATCGGTATTTTTAAAAAAGCAATATTCAATATTTAAAAAACAGACTTATCATTAATTATCAATATATAGCAACAGCTTTCCAGAAACTGTGGTGAAATTTTACAGTAATCTAACAAATGCATAATTTAGGAGATTGACAAGATTTACACTGTTACGGCACTCCAAATTAGACTTTTATTAGATTCCCGTCCTGTGTCTTCTAGAACTGGCCGCATAATTTGTCCATTATTACTAATAATCCTGTGTCTCCTAGAACTGGCCGCATAATTTGTCCAATATATCATAAATACATACTGTATTTATGATATATTATGTAAAAAAAACGAAATAATAATATGAATTGTTGTTTTTGCTCGTTTATTACTATGGTAACTGCTGACCTAGACACTTCCGTTACAAGTTTTGATTTCTGAACATAAAAAATAAATGATAAGGTATTTCCTGGCTTTCATTTCTGCATACAAAAAATCCAAAACATTGCATAGAAATATGGCTGAATGGATATTTAAAACACGTACTATCTATTTCATGGAGTAAAGGGTCATGTTAGATTCTTTCAGACACCATGATAATGGAAATGGACCGCCCGCCCACCCACATGTGATTTGAAATAAGAGGCAGATGGGAAACTGAAGTCTAATTTGGAGTGGCCTACTGGCCTTGACACCAGTAGACCCAAATGCATCATTCTGTATTATTTTATTCCATCTAATGCCAGACAATTATACTCACCAAGCAGGGAGGTAACTTCGGTATTATGGCTGGGGGGTGTTGCGAGATTGTTTCGTCCGACTAAAAGGATGTGACCGAAGTTGTGCCCGACGGATATTTCAGTCATTAATTGATATTTATTTTCCCAAAATTATTGTTGGTGAGTGGGGGGACATACCATTTTTCACTAACTTTTGAACTAATATATAATGTACCATAATTTGTACAATTTTTCAGTAATATTTTAATAAATTTATCAAAATTTTCCCCACAACTATTACTTTTCAATAAGTTATGTAAAATGTTTTGCTTAATTACATATTTTTTTCGTTAAAATTGTTAAACTTGCCCGACAAAACTGCAATAACCCCCCCCCTTGTAGTTACGGCCCTGTCTCCAAGGGAAAATGTTAGCACTCAATTGGTTAATCAGACTATTTGCCCATGTGTCTTGTTAACCAGGCTGCAACTGGCATGCACCCTAATGCATCCCACTCTGTCTAATGTCAGACCATTTTACTCTTCAGTAGGATAGTGTTTGCACTTCATCAGTTAACCCATTAAGAGGCAGCCCTCTCTCTTTAATGAATAAAATTGTTTGGCATTAGTCAGAGTAAAATACTAAAGTAGGGTGCATTGCCACTTAAAGGGTTAACAGAATTTATTGGCAGATAGTCTAATAATTTCCCTGGGGTGGGTTGTTCAAAGCTGGGTTAGCTTAACCCTAGGTTAACCTAAAATTTAAGGCGAACTTCCTGACAGCTTGTCTATAAATTTAAAAATAGTTCTTCAGAAATCTTGTCTGGATCAGTAGGAGATTACTTCTCTGAAGTTTTGAAATAAACAGATGTGCATTTTGTTAACCGGGCTGCAACTGGCATTGCACACTAATGCATCCCACTTTGTGCTTTTACTCTGTCTAATGCCAGACAATTTTACTCTTCAATAGGGTAGTGTTGGCACTTCATCGGTTAACCCATTAAGAGGCAGCACTCTCTTTGGGTTAAATTTTAACCCATGGTTAGCGCTAACCCACCTTTGAACAACTGGACCCAGGAGTGGCAGCAAATCAGATCTCCCCTTGACAAGAAAAATAGTCTGGTCACATGTGCCCTACTTTATTATTTTGCTCAGTCTAACCCCAGATCATGTTACTCTGTCTAATGCCAGAAAATTTGACTCATCAACAGGAGAGTCTTGCACTTTAATGGGCTAAAGGGTTAACATGCATACAAAATGTATTTATGAAAAACCATATTTTGTTGGGTTTTGTAGATGGAAATTATCGAGTGGAAATTTATATACATTTATTAGATTTAACCAGGAACAGCTGTGAAAAATACAACTACAGATCCCTGGCAGGAATCGAACCTACGGTCCTGTATATGTTATGCTCGACATAAAACATTTATTTAACATGTGAATTTCTGTTTGTGTAGGAACTGCACAAATCTTTCCGATGCTGAGCCGACCTTGACACACATGAGTATTTTGAAACTATATCAAGAAAGACATGTAAGGAAACTCAATTTTCACACTAATTTTTTATAGGAATTTTTTTGAAATACTGTACCATTAATGGTAAATAATTCAATAATTCAACATCATGTTTTTTTACCAATTTACCATTTGGGAAATTTATAATAACTAATTATGGTAAGAGTTCAGTTTTTGCATGAGTTGGGTTTTTTTCTTGTGATAGGGCGTAAAAAAAATACCTGTGGTTCCGGTTCCCGACCGACCCTATTTTTTCTGCCGACCCTATTATTTTTTCAATGCGATTGACCGTGCGACAATATTTTCTCCAGGTGGTTGCGGGCTGCTCATACAGCGTGGTCCTGGGTGAAACATGCAAACTATAGTAAAAATTTTGCATGCACGCTCATGTTTTGAGAAAAACAAATCGTTTTGACTGACATAATATTTTGAAACATAGTTTCAAATGCATATTTCACAGTTAGCTCACAAATGGCCAATTTTAAAATCTGCTAAATTCTGGTTGAATTGTAGAAATAAAATTTAACCCATTAGTGTGCAAGACTCTCCCTTTGATGTGTAAAATTGTCTGACATTAGACAGAGTAAAATGATAAAGTAGGGCATATTGCAGGCTAATGGATTAACAAGACACATTGGCGTTAACCATTAGTGATCAAGACGCATAAAATCGTAAAGTGGGCCATTCCATTTAATATCCCCCCCCCATATGGCTGAATTCTGTAAAATTTTAACCCCTAAGAAAAAAATATCAAAGTGCTGACACAAAACACCCCTCAGAAATTTGTACATTTTTCCCTTACCCCTCAGAGTATTGCAGAGATCAAAGGATGCCGACAGGCTTAACCCCTCTGAAACGACTTTGGGGTCATCCTTCAGAAAAATTACTCCATATGGAGGGTGTGGACATTAAATGGAATGGCCCAGTAGAGCTTAATTGGTTAATATAAATTTTGATCTCTGCCAATAAAGGTGATCCAGCATTGAGCTAAACCCCCTCTCCAAGTTCAGTAACTGACAGTGACTATTGCCTAGGTTAAACATGTTGTATCTCAGAACTGCGATGGTCTACATCTGCGCAGTGGCTTACCGGGCCAGGCTTTGTCAGAAGTTCATGGTAATATGTATATGGAGGTTAGTTCAGTTCACTATATATTAATCAATTGTACATTCTATCCTTGCATGCAAAAAAACCAATTCTCCAATATTCTGACTAATAATATGTTTTTATCAGTTCAAAATCATTGTTTTGTTAAAAGGCAAAGGTTTCTGACCATTGTCGAAATGTTTGGAGCAGTATGAGGCAACGTTTGCATTTTTGAAAAATAACTCGAAAAACAAAGGTCACTGAGGTCCGCCCTTTGCATTTGAACAAATATTCAAACATTTTTTAAAACATTTTTTATCAGTTAATTAAATATATTACTTTCTTGGAATCAAAAGTTTTTTACTACTGCATTTGCAAAACGTTTCAAATATGTTAGGTTTCAAATTTTTAAGTTTGAATTTTTAAAAAAAATAAGTGGAAAATCATTTTGGGGCTCACATTTTCTCTAGTTGCCTGTGACTGCCCCCCCCCCCAATCAATTTGCTTTTGAGTCAAATTTTCAAACTTTTTAAAACATTTTTATTAGTTGAAAGTCGTTTAAAGTGAAAAAAACAAAGTGGGGGGACCACAGTGCCTCTGGTTGCCTGTGGAGCAAAATTTTTCAAAATTTCTAAAGTTTGTTTTTATCAATAGAAAGTGATGTTTCCATTCCAACAGTTTGCGAAACGTTTGGAGTAGTTTGAAGTAAAGTTTGAATTTTTGAAAACCAAAGGAAACACCACAGCAAGCCTTAAAATATCGGTCGGAGAACCGTCTGACAAAATGTTCGATGACTTTAAGTTTGGATCGGACATATGTATTGTGATGTCCGATGACATTGACTTCAGTTTGGCTTGGAATATGAATGCAGACACAAATGAATATCAGCTCAATTTGGAAAGGCATTTGAATACACATTTGCAATTCACTTTTAGTACATTACGTATTCTGCTTCTCCATTGAACATACAAGCCTATAGTCCTGGGTCTAGGGTACATTTTGATTTACGTTGGACAAAGTTAGGGTAAGGCGGTTTTTCGGTAAACCGGAAAAAAACCCCGAAATACCCAATGTTACTTTTGCAGAAAAACCGGGGAAAACGAAGAAAAATCGGTATTTTAGTAAAATCGAATCCTGTTTTGGCAAATCGAATCCAGTTTTGGCCAGATTTTACTAATAATGAATCCAGTTTTGGCATTTACACACGAAAAACTAAAGAGATTTTAACGTTAAATATCTTGCGTGAGTACTGAGTAGATACGTTAAATATCTTGCGTGAGTACTGAGTAGCGTGTTGTATCTTTTTTTACCGTAAGATAAGATAAGAAACTTTATTTATGTGTCAAAACATTCTAGCGTTTAGCACGCTAATTGGGGATACGTAGTTTCGATTTTCGAACGTATTTTTTAAAAAAACGGACCCGTTTTTTGGTCGGTTTTCGTTTTTTTTGTAGAAACCGCGCCTCACGTTAGACAAAGTTACAGTTAGGTCGGACACCAACACACTCGGGTTGGACAGAATGTCCGGTGGTTTCCTCCCTACGTCGGACAATTTCACGAAAGGGTCGCGCAATGTCCGTGACCAATCCATATTTTAAGGCCTGGTGCCACAGTACGTGTGGTTGCCTGTAGTCGTCCTGAGCCAAATTGAGACTTGTGTTATCTTTAGGTGTGTACCGAATGTGATCCAGAGCGAACCTATATCCGAACATTTGATGTGACAGAAAGGACAGCGTTACGTCGGCACAATACGGGCAGAATGTGTCACGTTTGTGGAGGAAAACTACGAGATACAATCGTGCACTTTGGTGAGAAAGGCTGTCTCGAATGGCCACTTAACTGGCAGGGTGCTATTGATGCTGGAAAAGCAACTGATTGTATTGTTTGTCTTGGTTCCAGTCTCAAAGTAAGAATTCATGGCGGTCCTGTGATGTTTACAATAAATAATCTAACTTTGTTTATACTGGGTAGTTCTGTCAGTTCTAAAGTCTTTCTCCCTAGAAATCCAGTAAGGGCCATCTCTTATTGATCCAGTGTTAAGGCTGCATTCCAGTTACGCGTTTTTCATACGTGCGTACACGCACGTAAAAGTTGAATTCGCTTTACATCCTACTTATGAAATAACTAAATTTATAAAAGGACAGCATTCAGTTTTGTGTATGATTTAATGTGTATTTGTTAAGGTTATTTGCACTTATATGAAATTTTAAGCGAATTCAACTTTTACTAGCGTGTACGCACGTATGAAAAACGCGTATAACTGGAATGCAGCCTTTACTATAAGAGGAAACCTAAACTAAACTAATTTTAATTATACTGGATAGCTCTATCAAATGTTAACTGTTCTTCTTAGAGGTTCAGTAAGAATCATCTCTTATTGATCCAGTGTTACTACAGCAGGAAACCTAAACTAAACTAATTTTATTTATACTGGATAGCTGTATCAAATGTTAACTGTTCTTCATAGAGGTTCAGTAAGAATCATCTCTTATTGATCCAGTGTTACTTTAAGTGCTAAAGTTTTAACTTTATTTATAATGGATAGCTCTATCAGTTTTAAAATGTTTTTCCTGAAGGTGCACTAAAGGCCATCTAGTGTTACTACATGCAGGAGAAAACCTAAACTAGACTAACTTTTTAACTTATCGAATGTAAACTGTTTTCCCCAGAGGTCCTGGTCATCTCTTCTTGATCCAGTCTTAATACAGGAAGAAACTTGGTCTGAACTAACTCTATTTTTATCTAACCAGTAACCATTTTATAAACAGTTCTCCCTGGAGGTCCGGTAAAAGCCATTGGTTATTGATCCAGTGTTATTACAGGAGGAAACCGGAGTACTCTAAGAAACTTGCTAGGTTTGGTGGAGCATAGGTTATTGTAATAATTTACCATTCGAAGCATTATTGATATATTACTTAATAATTTGTTTAGGTTTTAAAAAGATACAATTCTCTATGGGGCATGACCAGAACGAAAGCCAGAAGGCCACAGCTGTTTATAGTCAATTTACAGGTATAGAAACGACAGTCTGAAATCTCTTTAATTCCTTGCCAATGACCACAGCTCTATGGCTTATTTTGTGAAAAGTATGAATAGGTAATGAGTTTTGCAGCCAATTAAATTTCAGAGTTGGTCACATACAGTATATATATAGCCTTGTAAACCCGATGCAATAATAAACCTTATGCATAATGACGTCGCTTGATGCCCGCGAAGAAATGCTGGTCTTAGTAGTCATCGCCCGAGAAAATTTCGATAGTGGCCATTTTGAATTGTTTAATTTTCCCGTGCGATATATGACTAGTAAGACCAATATTCCTCGCGGGCATCAAGCCTTGTGAGGTCATTATGCATAAGGTTTCTTGAAGCTAAGCAAACTTTTTACAAAGTAAGTAAGTAATTGGGGGTGTGTTAATCATTCTTACTTGCAACCATAGTTAATAGAGGGGATGGTTTGGAAGCTCATTAGCATTACAATAAACCTCGCTATCTATGTTTTTGTTCAGTTTTATGCAAAAATGTGGTCTTTCATCGTCACGTGCGTATTGTATTTTTGCTCAACCAGCCAATAGCAACGGTTTTGTCCAATTGCTCATCCATGACTTTAACAATAGGACATTTTAAACATTCCTATTGGTTGACTTGAGAAAAATACAACACGCACGTGACGATGAAAGACCACATTTTTGCATAAACCTGAACAACATAGATAATGAGGTTTATTGTGATTTTATTGTAATGCTAACGAGCTTCCAAACCATCTCCTCTATTAACTATGCTGCAACTGAGAGCTAAGCTGAATTGCGAGGGATTTCTAAGGGCGCCTCTGGAGAAAACCAACGACCTTCGGTAGAGTGTCGACTGACTCCATTCAGACGAGTGTCATGAGTCCGCAACGATAATCGAACCCATGATCTCAGAGGTTGAATCGCGCCACCGAAGCCCCGTTTTGTTATCTCTATTCGTTTGTTTATCTTTAATATGTCATTTCAGTGGACTCCGAAAGATACGTCAGCAACTTTGAAAATTAACGGTCGATGTGATGACGTCATGCAACTCGTCATGGAAAAACTTGGGTTGGAAATTCCGGAGTATAAAAGGTACTGTATATGATGAATACAAAAAGAAAAGGTTAACCTCTTAACGTTTTGCCGAATTTTGCCTGAACATCAACAAAAAGTAAAGACGAACCTTTTAACTTTTTGTCGACATAAAAGTAAAGGCTCACTACTTTTAACGTTATGTCGAAAAAAAGTAAAGGCTAACTCTTTAACGTTAGCTAGAGGAAAAGTTAACGCCAATCCTTTAACTTTTTGTCGACAAAAACCAATGTTACCCCTTTACTTTCAAAAACTCAAAGTGGCCAAAAGTTGACAAAACATGAAAGCTAACCCCTCTAGTTTTCGTTGACAAAGAGTAAAGGGTACAGTACAGTCTATTAACTCGCAGAACAATATTCGTTGCAGGAAAAACGATCCATTATTTCGCCTGTGTATGCCGTTACGAGAACACGAAGTTGCCACGAAAACAACAAAGAATATGGAGCCGAGAAATAGCGAACAAACGAACGGTGAAGCAAAACATGCTTCATTACAAGATGTAAAACGCGAGGAACAAGACGGGGTAGAGTGGGATAATGGTGAACATTTAGGAGCAGGATGGTACGGCAAGGGTTGTGCCAAGTTAAAGAAACCGCGCAAACGAAGGAAGCTTAAATAGACGAGACAGTATGAAGAATAGAAGTTTCTCAAGATAACACTGCAGTTAAACGTGTGTATATTGACCTTTGAGCTCTATTTATGTCTGGAGCATCGTCCCCAGTGAGCTCTATGTATACCAGGTGATCTCGTGTTCGTATTTTAGCCAATCAGTGCTCAGAAAGGGTTGTCCGAATAGAAATCCATTTTGATGTATTCAGTCAATTATATCTTTCGTTATTCTTTATGAAACTAGTTGAAATTTTGTAATTATGTTTGGTTATGAGAACTATAGCTTTGACAAAAATATTGAATCGAAATAAAGTATATTACAGGAGATCTTCAGTTGTTTTAATCATAAAATGGATTTCTATTTGACAACTAGTGCCAGTACTTTTCCGTGTATCAAGATCATCTGGTACTGGAGCGAGAACTCGAATCTAAAAAGTGAAACCAAGAAGTTCCAGTCCCTTTCTATTGCAAGGAGTCGGCATGGTGCGTGTCAAAATTTTGTATTTTGACATCGATTTAAAGAATAACACTGTGGTTTTATGAACTTACAATTTGTTTAGCGATACGGTCCATTATACTGGAATTAGCTGGGGGAAAGTGTATTACAGTTGATTTCACATAACTTTTCCCTAACTATTGTGAAGTTCATAAGTTCAAAAGTTGATAATCATATTCACAAACCGTTTGTAAACAATGCATTTGATTGGCTTCGTTTAGTTCAGGGGCCAATCAGAGGCTTGGTTTATACAATCCAGCTTGTGAATACGGACTGTATCGCTAACCAAGTTATCCGTTCATAAAATCATAATTTTAGTCTTTAAATCGAAGTCAAAATACGAAATTTTGGCACATTCCTTAGAAAGGGCCTGAAACTGGCTACCACAAGTTTGCATTATTTTCTGTTTTATGTATTACCAGGCCACAGAATAAAGATCAGTAACAGAAGGGACACTCAGCGGTGCAACGTGTCCGCGTTTTTTTATGCAAAAATATGCAGTTTACTGGCCAGAAGGCGGAGGAGCCAGCCAGTACAGCGTGTTTATTGGCCAGAAAATGTCATTGACTGGCAGGAAAATGGCGGCCAACATGCGTAATGCGCGAGGACAGAAACTTCAAAGCTTCCGACGTAAGTGGCCCTTCTATATGGATCCTTATTCTATGACCAGGCTAATAACTAATTTTTCAAAAGAGTTTAAAATCGAAATTAATTTTGGAAGAAAAAAGAATGACAACTATTTTTCGAATCTGTCTGCTATACAGATTGGTTTCATTATTTGAGTATTTAATATTATAATTATAATGAAAAACCTCATCTTCATCAATTTTCACTGTCAGTGTTTCCGGATATGATGTCATTAGATGCATTTTTGGAAAAATGATCTGCTATTAATCTAATGACATCGTATTCAGAAATTCTAACAGTGAAAAAGTTGATCAAGATGAGGTTTTTTACTATAAAGATATATTACATTTCGTCTACGAATGACATATAAATAGCTCATCGTTCATGCTACGGTTCACATGGTGGACATTTACACAAAAGAATCTCATCACTTATCCTCCATCTGTTTTTGTGTAAAAGTCTTGTGGGATTGCTTGACATAAGCAAAAATCTTATTTGGGGTATTAATAATTTTAAGGATTGCAACATGTAGTATTTATATATACGTATATTTATGCAAGCAATCAAAGAAAGGAACAATGTATCTCATTGACCAGTGTAGTCGGGTCATGGCCCACCTTGTTCAAATTTTTTTGGGGGAGTTGACCCCAACCCACCCTGAAGGTCCATTTCCACTCAAGAAATTGAAAAACATTTCCACAGACAGAACATTTTCCGAAAATATCATTGTTAAAATTTCAAAATTTTCAACTTTAAAATTTTTTCCAGCGGAAACTTTGTGTCTGCCAATCATATTATAGCCTATCAAATTTTAGTTCTGCAGAAAATTTTCCTGAGTGGAAATATGGGCTTTGATAATATAACACAATTTTGCCAAGTTAATGATTTGGCATTATTGTACAATTGAAATACACAATTATTCCAATTCATTTTTTAAGGTTAGACCAGTAATGCTAATGCTCCTATAATATATCGTATTTTCTTGTCTTGATAAAATTAAAGTTAATATATTAACAAACAATTCATGTGGACAAGAAATTAATCATTTCTCAGAAATGTAAATAATAGTACTATTTGTGTGAATATTAAGACATGAAGTTTTTAGAGTTTTTTTTTGCATTGTACACGCTTGAGTCTTGACTATTTTAAAAATACTATTGCAGTACAGAAGGGATTTATGGGTGGTTGACTTTCAACAGTTCTTGATGTTTTTAAAACTATTTGTTGTGGTTAAAAAAGTGGTCAAAAAGGTAAAGGCTATCACCCTTAACCTTTGTCCATGTTGGCCTATACACTTTTGAGGTTTTTGAAAAGCTTGCTATAATTAAACATTCCTATTGCGAAGGTATTTAATCCCCAAGGGAGTTCAGGCCAATAAACACTTTTAGCAGTAGCCAATCATGACAAAGCTTTTGTAAATTAAACCAATCAGAGCTCATGAAAACCTGACCAACATGGAACAAGGGTGTGTGTATGCAAATTCGTGGCAAGTTTGAAAATTTCTGCTCGACGTTTCGGGGCGCCATCTTGACTCGAAGTTTAGACAAGTACGTATTAAAGTTGGCTTCAGAACGTCGTATTTATGCCACTTTTTCGAAATAAAATGGTTGAGTCATTCAGAGAGACAGGTTAGTATTAAATTTAGCTATATTTTAAACGTTTGTGAGTTGTTTTAGTTAAGTTATAGCTGTTGTTTGACAAACGTGCTATAAATTCATTGAATTACTTCGCTTCCCGTTCGAGCGCCTCGTTCCCGCTTACTCGCTTCATTTCTTTAGTATTTCTCAAACTTTTGCGGGTGAATAATGTTCAGAATTACCTCTGCATTACTTTAAATCACTCATATTTGTTTTATCTGCAGTTTTAGAGCGAAAATTTGACGAGAAAGTTAACTGATTCAATCGCCGAACTGCCGAAGGCTTCGGTCGAAGCACGCGGTAAGCATAACAATGTCCATTAAACTAAAGCTCGTGTTCCTTGTTTATTACTGGTATTTTAAACTTCCTTATACAACTACAACTTTTTGGTAGCATTTTCAAAATGTTTTCTAAACTTTTTTAAAAATATGGTGGAAATTTTTGTCCGTAATTCGTAAAGCGAAATGCCGCATCCATTTATTTAATACTTAGGGCTTTTGAATTCGAGATGAATGCCTCTACTCGCCATGTCCCTTGAAAGTATGTTTTAAATTAATATATCTAAATTCTTTTTTATTGCAGCCTACAGCTCAAAACCCATCATCTAGAAAGCGAACGGCAAAGAAAATCCAGTGAAAAACAAGTTGAAAAAGACCATGATTCCATGAAAGGCAATTACAAATTAAAACAGATAGACAATTGTGACGGAGATCTTTCGTTGGTGCCAAGTGCCAACTGCTGAACCGTATGGCTATCAAGCTCGCAAAGTATCGACGTTGCGTCCGATACATTGGTCGAACACTATATCCAATGCACAATACCAAAGCCTGACAGTGATGGAGCGGCCAGTGTGCCAAGTTTAAGTGGGATGCAAAGAATTTGTCAAGCCCCAACAGACGTTATACCATGCTCAGAGACTACCAAATCGAGATGCCCAACCAGTTAGCCACACCCCCAAAACAAAGACCACGCACAAAACTGAAGGATGCCTACTATTAGCCTAAAGATTTCAGATGTGTCGAAAGTACGTGGGGGCCACCCTGAGAACGCCCAAATGCACAAAACAAATTTAAACGTGGCATATTTTCAATAATTTCGAAACTTTATTTCAATTTTACACTTTTTTAGTATTTGTGAGAAGCTCTTTAACGAAATCAAAAATTTTTGAAATCCGAAAGGTTTTATCTGGGAGTTTGTATATTTGAAAGATATTTGAAATGAAATTTTTGAAGTTTACATCACTTTGGTATTTAGTTTAAACGCTAGGTAAAATCATGCCAGATGGGTGGCTGGCCATTCGTCGAAGTTCGGTGACATTTCGGCTCCGACTTTTCCCGACCTACAGACGAGTTGCTCCGATCGACTGTCGTGATCAACCAGCACAAATGTAAGGCTTGGCCAACCTTGCGTTTGTGCTTTTTGTTTGTGGCATGAGATTGGACAGCTCGCCTGCAGGCCCGGCAAAATCGGGCCGAAATGCCGCCAACCTTTGATTTGTGACCGGTTTTTTGTTTGTATGGCTTTATCCAGCGTTTTCTAGTTATCATTCTGATGTCAATTTCCGGACTTTGGCTCGAATATCTTTAATATAAACATTCTTTGAGGTTTATTCTTAAGAGATTTCATAATTTTTGGCTTGTTACTGTGTTGCTCACAGATATCATAATTTGATAAAATTTGACCAAAAAATTTAAAACTGACAAAAACGTCATTTGTGGTGTCGGATGGGAGGCCCATTGGTAATCGTAGTAGATATTAATGGATAAATATGGATTACTGTGTACTATTACGGATCCTGGGTACATTTATGGATCATAATGAACATTAATGGATTACTGTGTACACTTGTGGATTATCAGGAACATTTGTGGATAAAATTTACTTCGCTTTACAGTTACCTGCCGATGTACTTCGATGACGGAGCTCCACAACGGTTAAAGAGAGGTCTGCCTTCAGGTTAGAGGGTTTGATGTTAGCCTGCTAACAGGCAGTATTAAGCCTGTTATGAGGCAGTAGTTAGCCTGCTAACAGGCAGTATATCAGTAGGATTCGTACCCAAGACTCTAATTTGCATGTGTTCGGCAAAGTCTCTGGGTCAAAGTAATTTAAAATTCCTGGCGGTCTGTCGGTAGCAGTACATTTTCACACAAGGTTGATTTTCTTATTCAGATGCTTTTTTTCAAAACTATTCAGAATTTCGATATCACTATTCTGGATTCGAAAGTCGATCTTAAAGTGGTTAACATTTGAGCTTTCGGTCACGTGGTTTGTGCATGCACTCGGTTCGGTTATTGGTGGGTTTCAGTAAGCGTTACAGACCAGATGGTCAATGCTAAAAATGTAGGGGCAAGGTTACTTGGCTCCAAACACAAAACTATTACATAAATTGAAAAAGAATGAGAATTATTTTTCACTTTAGCAACTCTTATTGAAACCCACTAACTATTCGCGATCTATTCGTGCCAATGTTCTTCTCTTCGTGTAAATGTACTGTTTAGGTGTCTGTGCATGGATAAACGCAGCGCGCAACTATGTCTAGAATAGGCAGACAAGTGAAACCATACCAGACTTAAATTTTGGTTATACTCTTATATTACGTACACGAATGTATAGAAATATCATGAAATGGGTTGGGCTTCGGGTTAGGGTTAAATCTAACCCTATTACCGTAACCTTGACCATTACATGTCCCATATATGCGTGTACATAACCTGAGTATCAGGCTCTATTTTACAAATAGAGCCTGACACAAAACTTAACCTGATCGCTTTCCGCCCACAGCAAAGTTTATATTTAGTATCCAATCAAAATGTCGC